TTAAATAAACCTCCTGCATCCATGTGGTCAGACTGGGACTATTCCAGTTGGGCCCCTTCCCTGTGATGTTGGCAGCAGCATAGGCTAATTGAAAAAATGCCTGAATACCTCAGTGGCCTCCTTTTCTCAGTTGTGCATCATTGTTTGACATACAAAGTTCATGATGGAGTGTTATTTTCCAGATCACCAACACACATTGCAGCAAAGGAACACCTCATGTTCATCCACTCTGCATGGAGGACCCCATCAGCTCTGCTTCTCAGATGATATGAGTCTCTCATGTGGGTTACAGGGACCCACATACTTCAGCCATCACTCCCTCCAAAAGTGCATATTAGCATAAAGCTGGAATTGAGAGTTGTGACTGTAACCTAGGCATGCCAATATAGGATGTGGACATACTAAGCAGGGTTGTAACACATGCCAAATGTCAATCCCTCAGTGAATTTTTGAAGTGCCTCTGTATATCCAAGGCTTTCAGAGAAAGGAGACAGAGCCTTCTGGGCCCTGCCCCTTTACTACATAGTTTCTGCTTCTCCCCAACATTGCACACTGCTTCATGTGTCTCTCTCTGTGCATGCTCACTTCTGAGGTCTATTCATGTAGACAGGGAAGAGCAGCAGAGCACAGAAGAGTGGGTCTGGGAGACAAGGCAGATTAGGGAAAAACTGGACTGTGACAGTTTCTGCCTGGATCCTGCCACTTAGTGTTTAGTGACCACATCTGAAGCAGAGGAACATTGGACATCTACATGCCAAAAACTGAAGTATAATATCTTTATATTACCCAGGCATGAAAGTCAAATCAAAATGAATTGAAGGCTTACATAAAAGGGCTGAGAATATAAAACCCCTTACAAATGGAAGCAAATTAATTGATATTAGTCTCAACAATGATTGTTTAGATATGACACTAAACGCATAGGTGACAAAAGCAAAGACTGAAAAAAATCTAAGAAGTATTCTGCATGTGATAGGAAAAACAGAACAGATAAAGCAAGAAATGAAGAAAACATTGGACAACCTGAGTTTGAACACAAACAACTCAAAAACAAATATTGTAATAAAAATTGCACAAAGGATTGATCAGTTTTCCATTGAATATATACAAGTAGCCAACAGGTAACTTAAAAGGGGTTCAGAAACAGCTAATGAAGACTACAATGCTAATTAAGACCACAGTGATTATCATCTCATATGTGTTAAAACAATTATCCAAAAGTAAAAAGATAACATTGGCCCAGGGTGGAATAAAGGAATATAAAAATTGTTGCTGAGAAAGTAAATTGGTACATACAATATAGAAAACATTATGTAGGTCTTCAATCAAAATTAAACATAGAACATATGACAAAGCAATCTCACAACAGCGTGTATATCCAAAGGAAACCAAATCAGTATCTCAAATAGATACCTTTATCTCCACATTACTGGCAGCATTATCTACAAGAACAAGATATGGAGACAACCCCACTGTCAACGTATGAATAAAGAAAATGTGATAAACACACATACACAGGAATCGCAGACAACCTTAATAAGGAAATTCTTCCATTTTGTCAGGATGTGGATCCAAAAATATGAATGTGGACATTAGGCTATTTGAAATAAGCACAGAAAGATAAATGCCACACAATATCACTCATATGTGTAATCTAAGAAAGTCGCACTTAATCACAGAATAGAATGGTGGTTGTCATGGGCTGAGAGTGAAGGACATGGGAAAATGTTAGCTGAACACACATTTGCAGCTATGAGATAAATTAACAAAATTAACACTTCAAGACCTTAATATTCAACACAGTAAATAGTTGATTATGATATCACATACTCACAACTTGCTAATATCTTCCATATTCTTTAATAACATAGGGATGTAATGTGATGGATATGTTAGATTGTCTTAATCATTTCATAATGTATATGTACAAGAGATTTCCAGAAAGTTTATGAAAAAATGTAATCAAAAGATAACGTGAGGCGTCTCGCGGGTCCTTTCTGTCCTCCGGTTGTTACAGGACTCCCTGAGCAGACGCTGCCATGAAGAGAACCCGCAATGAGGTGGACGCCACGCTGCAGATCACCAAGGTGAATGCGGCCGAGCTGCTGCCTGCCGTGTACTGCTTAAGCTTCAGCCCCGGGGCCGGCGGCGGCGACTTCTGCCTGCTGGAGCTGGAGCCCGCGCTCTGCCAGCAGCTGGAGGCCAGGCACAGTTTTGTGATTTGTGGTGATAAAGATGAACAAGCAGTGCTGTGCAGTAAAGACAAAACATATGACTTGAAAATAGCAGATACTTCAAATATGTTGCTTTTCATTCCCAGTTGTAAAACTCCTGATCAGCTGAAGAAGGAAGAAACACACTGTAACATTATTCACACTGAGATCTTTGGTTTTTCTAATAATTATTGGGAGTTAAGAAGATGTAGACCTAAATTAAAGAAGCTAAAGAAACTTTTGATGGAAAATACCTATGAAGGACCTGACAGTCAAAAAGAAAAGGATTCAAATCATTCAAAATATACGACTGATGATTTGCTTGATCAAATTCAGGCAAGTGAGGATGAAATAATGACCCAGTTGCAAGTTCTAAATGCCTGTGAGATTGGAGGTTATTGGAGAATTCTTGAATTTGACTATGAGATGAAACTTCTGAATCATGTAACTCAGCTTGTGGATTCTGAATCTTGGTCGCTTAATAAAGTTCCTTTGAGTACATGTATTCAGGAACTTGGACCATTGGAGCCAGAGGAAATGATAGAACACTGTCTTAAATGTTATGGAAAGAAATACATAGACGAAGGTGAAGTTTATTTTGAACTGAGTGCTGATAAAATATGCAGAGCAACAGCACAGATGCTTCTTCAGAATGCAGTGAAATTCAATCTTGCTGAGTTTCAATAAGTGTGGCAACAGAGTGTCCCTGAAGGAATGATAACTAGGCTTGATCAGCTTAAGGGTTTAGCATTGGTTGATAGAAATTCAAGGCCAGAAATCATATTTTTGCTGAAAGTTGATGACTTACCTGAAGGTGATCAGGAACGTTTTAATAGTCTGTTCTCTATAAGAGAGAAGTGGACAGAAGAAGATATTGCTCCATATATTCAAGATTTATGCGGAGAAAAGCAAACCATAGGTGCATTACTCACTAAATATTCTTGTTCTTCAATGCAGAATGGTGTCAAAGTTTATAATTCAAGAAGACCCATTTCTTAAAGGAACAACAGTCTTTTCTTTGGGACTAAAGTTGCTTTGTAAAAATCCTGGATATTAAAGGACAAAAATATCCTCTTCTGCATTTTATTTCTGACTTTGAAAACTTAGTCTCTTGTGGCATTTTTTTCCTTAAGCATTTTGAAACTAGTACTCTTCTTTATTAAGTTTAATATATTATTTTTGCACACACACACACACACACACAAACATGAATTTGTCGCTCCCCCTCTTCATGGAGGAATGACACTAAACCCTGCCTAGGTTTCCTATCCGAGTCACGGCACCATTATGTCGCTCCCCGTCTTCGTGGAGGAATGACACAGGACCCTGCGCTGTTCTTTTGTCTGCTCGGCCCTCCCCAGGTTTGCTGCTGGTTCTTCCCGGGTTGGCTACAGTCCCTTCCACCTCCGTGGAAGGGCAGTTCCCCCTGCCACTTTCCCCACTTCCGTGGGGGAGTGGCACACCGCCGGCCGGCTCTCTCGGGGACTGCTCAGGTGTTCCTCAGGTGTTCCTTCAGATGTTCCTGGTGCATGTTGTCTCTCTCCTCCTTTATAGTCCTCTTCCACCAATCCCAACTCTGCTACCCACACGCCGAGTATGCTGCTCTCCTCCAATCAGGAGCAGGTCCTGCTGCTTATTGGTTGAACTGGAGGCAGCTGTGTAGAAGCTGTTTACTCCTCTCCCAGCGCCATATTGTGGGAGAGCAGATGCATAGAATAAGTCTTAATTCCAATAACTTAGTCTAGTCCGAGTTGCTCCCCACAGAATTGTCCATAACTTTTTAACGTCCCTCACATAGCAAAACATCAGTTTTCATACCTTGATGATACACAAATTGTGTCAGTCATACTCTGACAATCTTGAAAAAAATTAAAACAAGCAAAACTAAACAGGCTCCTATATTAAAATATAAATCCAAAATAACTTAGTAAACTAGACATATCTATAGGATTTGGAAGACTTACATGCAAGAAAAATCATTTTTAAAACACACATAAATTTGAGTGGTCAAAATTTCTATTTTGAAAGTGCAAATAGAGATGGCACCCTGTACAGAGAAAGTGTAAGTGCTAAGACAATGCCCAAGTACCAAATTACAGGGTCTTTCTGCTTCTCTAAAACCTGGGTGAAAACCCCAAGCCAAATAAAACTTCTGTTTCTACCTTACTCAGTCTATGTTACTGTGATATTGGAAACATATGAAAGAGTGAGACATCCTAGAAACAGCTGTGTAAAGAGGTCAATGCCCTGGAAAGTACCCTGCAGGCCACATATTGAGAAAACTCGGGGGAACCAGGTCCCTGTGGGGAGGGAAGGAGGAACCTACAGCGCCTGTCCCACATGAACCACATACACAGAGCCCACATTCTCCCTAGAGACCACCCAGTCCACACTGCACAGTTGGGGGAGACGTGGAGCTACTGCCACACAGCTGGCCTGCTATGGCTCTGGGCTGAGAAGTCTCACCCAAGCAGGGAAGGGGCAGGACCTCGGGGGTGCTGGGTGCCGGTAAAACCCCAAACCCACGGGTCTGAGGGGACCGAGGGGAAGCCCTGTGCCAGCACTAATATGGAGCCCACAGATGCCGGAGGCCTGTGTCCTCCTGGCCTTCGGCTCCGTTTTCCCCTCTCGGTACAACCAGGTCCACACACTCACCATGTCATGGTTGTCAGCTTCCTAGGTGCCCAGCGTCCCCGGTGAGTGAAGGTGGAGAGCTGCAGAGGTCGACTTGCTTGGGAGCCTCCTGGCGGCGGAGCTGTCTCCCAGGAGTTCACTCTGCAGGCAAAATTCTGAGAAGATTGTGACGTCCAGGCCCCGCGTGCTGATGCACTGTGGACGTCACCTTGCCTGATTGGACAGTTTGCCAGCCTTGAGTGCACGGAATGTCACAAAGCACGGAGCCAATCAGCGTCCCCCATAGCAAGGACCCCTAACTTCAAGTTGTCCTGGATGGGAACAGCGAGAGACAGACATGGGTTCAGGTCTGAAATGGCCGCCCCTGGGCTCCGCCTCCCCGCGGCTGGAGGGCTCTCACCTCTGAGCTCCTGCTACCCACTGGCCTCGCCCTGGGTCCCCGTCCTTCTCCCTGCGGATGCTGCCTGGAGCTGGCGGTAACCTGTTGCAGTGAGTTACAGTTCTGTTTATCCGCTTCCGGCGCTTTCGTTTTCCTTGTATTTCTGCTCATTCTGTTGGGTCGTTTGTATTACTTATTGATTTGAATAACACTTAGATGTAACATAATTTACTCTTTTTTTTTTCTTTTCTTCTGTTTTCTACTCTGCCTATTGATCTTTTATATTTTCTAGTTATTTCTTGCTGGCACTTGGTAATCTAATGGATTTTTAAAACATTGATCTTTCCCACAACATTAAATTCATTTATCAGTTTATTTGTTTTTAGATTTTATGGATTCTCCCTAAATAAATATCTCCAATATATTGGCAATTTATTGTTAAGAAATTGATCTTTACATCTTATTTTATTTCTTTTTGCTCTCCCCCTCGCCCCCAACTACTCCTCCAATAAGAAGTTGGCACTAGTGGAGACTTCCTGGTCTAGGTTTACTTCCAGGGTAAAAGCTCTCAATGATTCTGTATTAATTGTGGTTTTCGTTGTAGGATCCTTTTAAAAAATTTTGATCTGAATAAGAAAGCCATTGCTCTTTTTTACTATACTGCAAGCAGTTTTTAAAAATTACATGCTGATTTTTAAATGTTTTTGAACATTAAATTGTCATGTGATTTTCTCCTTGAATTTGTCACCTACCTGGAAAATTTACATGACTTGTTAAGAAATGTTAACCACCTCTTGTATTTTTTATTATATGTGACTTGTTATTCATTATATTTTCATATGTGATTTCATTTATTATAAAAATACTAAGGATTTATGCATCTGTATATGAAAGAGAGTTTATACTTAATTTATATTGAAAGTTCTAGTCAACCTTGCATCATTATCAATGTAATGCTGGCTTTCTAAAAGAAATCTGAAAATATGCTTTGCTTATTTATACTTTGATACATCTGAGAAATATAGGTGTTTTTTATTTCTTAAATGTTTGAAATATTTTGTGTTTCTATAACTGAAGTTTTGTTTCTCTAACTGTTTTATTGGCTGGTGGCCTTCAAATTGGGATTCAACTTCCTTGTTTTAATTTGGAGTTTTCCTATTTTATACTTCTTATATTGGATTTTAGGAATTTATATTTGTGTTTGGGAATTTGACTTTCAAAGTATAGTGGATTTTTATCTCTAGTCAAGTTTTTACCCCAAGAGGTTTTTTTGTTTGTTTGTTTGTTTTGTTTTGTTTTGACATGCAGAGTTAGATGGTTAGAGAGACAGAGAGAAAGGTCTTCCTTCCATTGGTTGACCCCCCAAATGGCCGCTATGGCCAGAGATACACCGTTCCAAAGCCAGGAGCCAGGTGCTTCCTCTTGGTCTCCCATATGGGTGCAGGACCCAAGGACCTGGGCCATCCTCCCCTGCCTTCCTGGGCTACAGCAGAAAGCTGGACTGGAAGAGGAGCAACCAGGACAGAATCCGGTGCCCCAACCAGGGCTAGAACTCTGGGTACTGGTGCTGCAGGCGGAGGATTAGCCTAGTGGGCTGTGGCGCCAGCCTTACCCCTAAGAGTTTTGCAATATTTTTTTCTAAACTTGACAAAGTTCTTTTCTCTGTAAACAATTGTTTTAATACATGAAAATGGACACTAGTGTTACTTTTCCCTGTGTTTCCTCAATTACTTTTACTCATAGTTTATTAACTTTGTTAAAATTAAAAAGTATATCCTGGGACTGATGCTATGGCATAGTGGGTAAAGCCACCACCTGCACTGCTGGCATCTCATATGGGTCCCAGTTCAAGTCCCAGGTGCTCCCCTTCATATCTAGCACTTTGCTATGGCCTGGGAAAGCAGTAGAAGATGGCCCAAGTCCTTGGGCCCCTGCACCCATGTGAGAGACCTAGAAGAAGCTCTTGAATTCAGATAAGGGCAGCTCTTGCTGTTGCAGCCATCTGGAGAGTGAACCAGTAGATGGAAGACCTTTTTCTCTCTCTGCCTCTGCCTCTCTGTAACTCTGCCTTTCAAATATATAAATAAATCTTAAAAAATATTTCCAGAAATGAATGAAAAATCTGTCCCAATTGCTCCTCCTCCAGTCCAGCTCTCTGCTGTGGCCCAGGAAGGCAGTGGAGGGCGGCCCAAGTGCTTGGGCCCTGCACCTGCATGGGAGACCAGGAGGAAGCACCAGGCTCCTGACTTCAAATTGGCTCAGCTTGCCGGCCATGGGGGCCATTTGGGGGTTGAACCAATGGAAGAAAGACCTTTCTCTCTGTCTCTCCCTCTCACTGTCTAACTCTGCCTGTCAAAAAAATAAATAAATCTATGTGTGTGTGTGTATATATATATACACATATATATGCATATATTATTATATTATATATATTACATAGTTATATAACATAGTTATATAGTTACATAACATATATAATAAACATAATTATATAATTTATAACATATAATTATATATTAGAATATATCACATTAGACTATATATTATATATCTTAAATATAATATATAATAACTATGTATAATATATATATAATTATCAGCAAACTCAGTAAGAAGTTTATTTAAAAATTGAATAAATACAAATTAAAGTATGTGTTTTTCATCAGATTCAAAACAATTATTGCAACTGTTGACATTTTGACATATATGAGGCAATGGCCATTGAATAGAATGTGAATTTGCAAAAGAAATCGGTGATGTGTACCAAAAGTCTTAGCAATACAGATTATGTTTATTATATACTCTTGTCCCAAATAAGCACTTCCTAAAAAAATCTTTCTTTGGAAAAAATAGGTTTCAGAAGTGTCTATGGAAACTTTTTCTTAGGGAAACTTGAGGATAGAAAAGTAAATATCTAACAGTACAGCATTCATTTAATAGTATATGATAAATCCATATGAAGAAACATACTGTTTAGCTATAAAATATATTTACATTATTAAGCAAAAAAAAAAAACCCTTGCAGAGCAGGATGTATTATATATATAATCCACTATTTTTCAAAAACATGCTTATTTATTTTTTAAATATTGATTTATTTATTTGAAAGAGTTACACAGAGAGAGCAGAGGCAGAGAGAGAGAGAGAGAGAGAGAGAGGTCTTCCACCCACTGGTTCACTCCCCAATTGGCCGCAATGGCCAGAGCTGTGCCGATCCCAAGCCAGCAGCCAGGAGCTTCCTCTGGGTCTCCCACAGGGGTGCAGCACTTGGGCCATCTTCCACTGCTTTCCCAGGCCATAGCAGAGAGCTGGGTCGGAAGTGGAGCAGCCAGGTCTTGAACTGGTGGCCATATGGGATGCCAGCGTTTCAGGCCAGGGCGTTAACCTGCTGCACCACAGCACCAGCCCCAAAAACATGTTTATACAGATATATTTCCTCAAGCCTTGTGTTATGTGAGCGAAGCCATCTGTTTGACTCACATAAGCGTACCTTAAAAAGATTGTGGAAATGGAATTAAAAGTTAAATTTATTTTGGTTCAAAACATGTTGAAATTTATATATACATGGGTTATTTAAAAAGTTCATGGAAAACATGTATTATGAGAAATACATATTTCAAATGTTATGTACCAACATAAACTTATCTTCTATTTCCCATGAAATTTTGAAATCCATCAGAAAAACATGGTGTTCCTGGGAAATATCTGGCAATTATTTAATATACTGTAGAGATGCTAAATCTGCCTGAAGTTACTAAGAAAGAATGTGGTCGTGATTAGACACTTTTTCATTTAACCTCTCTGCGTTGTAACCAATCGTCACATTTAAAGAAACTATTTCCAGGTGTTGTGCAATCTGTGATACCGAAATCAGAGCAGAGAGTGTCTTCTTGACGCGGCGGCTCACCGGCCAGAGCCCTAGGGCCAGTTGAAGGGGCTGCCCGCCAGCAGCGAGTCCCGGGTGAGCGTCTGGGCAGGCGTCTTGCCCACCAGGCGCAGCAAGTGGAGCTGCTTGCTCAATGAGGGGCGCCTGGAGCACGCGCAGGACCGGGCGCGCTGGGACTGGGACGGGTACTGGGCGCGCAATACTCCATGAGAGCCACCTGCGCCTGCTCCTGCAGCCTCTCAGCGCGCGCAGAGGCCGAGAGCGCCATGACCTTGAGGCAGCCGGACTCCACCGAGTCCGCCTGCAGGCGGCCCAGCTCGTCCACCTGCTCCTGGTCCAGGAAGGCCACGCGCGCTCGGCCGGCGGTGGCGCCCTGGCAGGCAGGGGCAGCGCTAAGAGCAGCCGCGCCACCAGCGCTCTTCACCTGGTCCATGCCCAGCGCCGCGCCGCCGACCCCCGCACCTGCCACACCCGCAGCTGTGCCATCAGCTCCCACACAGGTTGCTCGGGAATGAGTCTCCGCCTCCGCACCTGCCGCGCCCCCAGCTGCACCGGGAACAAGCCTCTGTCCGCCGCCGCGCCAGCACCCAGCCTGGAGGGCTGCCGGAGGAGGCGGCCAGCGCTGCCAGGCAGTGATTGAGGGATGCGGCCGCGCTGCAGCGCTGCGGGGCGGCAGGAGGGAGAGAGAGAAGGGCAGGGAGAAGACAGCCAGAGCGAGGCTCTCTCAGAGTCCCCCCACCCCAGCTCCAGGAGAGCCCGGGTGTCGGGAGGGGGCCTGGGGTCTTCCCCAGGTGGGACTGGGAGCTGGGGCCTCGCCCGCAGCAAGCAGGTGAGGTGGGAGGAGGGAAACCGAGGCAGGGAGGGCTGGCTGCCAGACAGAGCAAATTAAGGAGCTTTAATGAGCCCGCCCACCTGGCCTGATCGAATCCATGAGCTCCAGCCCTAGGCCAGCCTCACGCAGGGCACATTACCAGCCCTGGAGAGGACTCGGGGCTGGAGGTGGGGCTGAGTCCTGCGGGGGTGGGAGTCAGCTGTCCAGTAGGAGTAGCCAAATGGGGCCCAAAAGTGCTGCCCTGGTTATAAGCCCCGCCTGCACCACTCCCCCACCATCCTACCCCAGGGCCTTTGCACCTGCTCACCCCCCCTTCTTCAAACCCCCACCCCAACTCTTCCTCCTCCAGCCCAGGCTGGGGCGTGGGGTTCAAATCCCACCCACAACTCCCTTTTTAATACTAACCCCTGAATTAACAAATCTGCTTTAGAGCAGTATTGGCCATGGAGGAAGGGCTACCCTGGTGGCAACTGAAGCCATGGGCTATTTACTGAGGGCCAACTGTATGCAGGGACCCTGGGGCACAACAGTGCACAAGACAAAGAGAGTCCCTGGAGAAGTCATTGGGTTCCAAAGCAAAGTAAGGGGTTGTGAGCCGTGAGGGTGGGAGGCCGCGCATGGGGTGGGGGGTGCAGCACGTGGCTGTAGTCGCGCCAACCTGAGGGCCGGGCCAGCGGGATTTCAGATCAGCCACGTGAGAAGAGGGGCACAGGTGAACCCCCCAAGCTGAAGGGAGTGGCTTTTCCAAGGGGCTCTGAGCCGACTTTATCAGCTTCCCTCACAGACGCAGTGAGTGGGGAGGACTTCGAAAGCGTGAGAGACTGGAGTCAGACCCTGGGAGGAACCGGCAGACAGAAAGCAGGTATGGGGTGCGCATTTATCCTGAGGCTGGAACCCCCTCTACCCCTACACCGAGACCACCACCCCCCCTCCCCGTGTGGAGCCTGGAGAAACTGCAGGGCATTGGAGTTTAGGGCCGCACTGCTTGGACTCTGTCTGCCCTGGGCCAGGCTGGGGCTTCTGGGGAGGGAACAAGAGTGGGGTCCCCATGAGCTCAGGCTGCCCGGCTCCTGCCTTAAGCAAACAGAGGCAGGGGTGGGAGCAACAGAAACCAAATAAATGTGTGTATGTGCGTGTGTGTTTGTGCATGTGTGTGCATGTATGTGTGTGTCTGTGTGTATGTCTGTTTATTTCTTCAGGACGCAGTGGCCAGGCCTGGGCAGGGGGACCGGGCCCTGGCCACAGCTGTAATTGGATTCCTGCGCCAGTACAGGGTGCAATGGCCCTGGTCTTGTGGTTAGCAGGTGCCAACCCCAGGCCCCACCGGCCGACTGCAGGGAGGATGGGGGCCGCTCACCCTCCTTCCGCAGGCAGCGGGGCTGGGGTGCCATTCACCCACCTACCGCACGCCCCCACCAGGCTGCAGCGGGGCTGGGGGCCACTCACTCTCCTTCTGCACAACCCCCCTAGAAGCACTTCTTGAGCCGGCAGGACTGGCACTGGTCACGCTGATGTTGGTCCATCTGACAGTCCCAATTGGACCTGCAGGGGTAGCAGTGTTAGGAGCTGATTGTCTAATGAATATACAGGGTGTGTGTTTTTAAAGCCTGATAATTTTAGACATAACTTTCTCCACGTTTTATATTTCTATATTTTAGTTTTCATGTATCCATTTGAAAGGCAGAGAGTAATTCTACTGTGTGTGTGTGTGGCAGGAACCCAATTCCTTGAGCCCTCCTGTGCTGCCTCCCAGCGTCTGCATTAGCAGGAAGTTAAGACAGAAATGGAAACAACACTCAGAAGCCCTCATTCCATTGTAGCAAGGTTGTCTCAAGGGGATTCTTAACCACTTGGCCAAATGCTCCCTCCTGCTTACTACTTTTTAAACACCACTCTCTTACATTACATAGGCCCAGGATCACAAAAATTACCAATTCCAATGTTGGCAAAGCCAATGAAAATGGAGCTCTCACAAAAAAAATGAAAGCCAAGCAAATTATTTAATTAGAAGTATTAGCTTGAATAAAATAATACTTTGAGTTTCATGTTTCATCAGGTTAGATAAGTGATAGATTTTCAATAGCAATATACACTGAACATAAAAAAGATGTAAAAATATTTTCAACCATCAGTATTACACATTTGCAAAAGCAATGGATGCTTGAATAGTTCTACAAAAATGTGTTCCAAAATCATGTGATTAGTCTTTAAATAAAGGAATGAATGTTTATCTCAATGAACCATTTCCAAAAGGGCAGAAATACAAAATAAAGCCCCTAACATGAACTGGATATGACAATAACTATCTTTGAAAATTCATTTTGTTTTAAGAACTGTTTCTGAAAACTATTTTTTAAAAAGTAAACAATATTTTAATGGGGAATTACTAACCATGATATAATAAAATATTTTCTGGAATTCTTGATCACAGTTTGAAGCCAGATTTAATTTAAAAAGTTACTAAAGGTGGGAAATAAGGCATACAAGAAAAACTTTTTAATTTTTAAATGTATCTATATCTTTAAGCATATCAAATGTCAAAATGAGATTATTGAGAAAACACATGGTAATAGAGAATTATTAGATTTATTTCAAAAATTCTTATTGAATTTTTATAGGCTCTCAAAACTTGATGTAGCAATCTATTTTTTCTGGGACCACGTTTGTTCCTTTGTCCAGGCCTGTTAGCATTATTTGGCAAAGGGTGAACGTTGAGGTACACGTGAGAGAATTATTACTCAATTTTCCTGGCCAGTTTTAGGTAAGAAATCAGGAAACAACCACAACCACCACAACAAACACCACTTTCTCAAGAGCATTTGCAGATCAGTTCTGCAGACTTCAAACGTTTTCAGGTTTGGAATGTTTAGACTACCACTCTCATGCTAAATTCTCAGTGGCTTTCTTTCTATTTCTGAATTGCTTTTTACAAAAAGAATGCAGCATAAGGAACTGACAGCAAAATACACTGTTCCCCAGATGGTTCCAATAATAACTATGCCAATTGTTTGTATTTATATTGCAAACATCATATTTTCACCTAAGTATCACTTACCTCAAATGTTAACTGAATAGTTTTATAGAATTGTTTTTTAAGATTTATTTTCTTTGAGAGGCAGAGTTATTCTACAAAAAGAAATAGATATCTTCAATACAAGCATAATTTTAATTCCTTCAAGTGATTGATAGAAAGGCATATTTTGTACCTTTAATTTGAACAGGCTCTCCCCAAAATTAAATTAGATATATTGTTTACCAGTGTGATAAAATGTATCTCACAAAGAGAAAATATGATACAAAAATATAATTTACTTTATTTCTTGAATACTCATATATGTCTTGCTAGACTAAGTTAAAATAGAATCAATATATTTTTGTCAATCTAATTCTGAAACAAAATCAAATAATGAGTAATTTGGAAATGTTTATGAATTATTTTTCTGTTTATTTCTATGGAGGAAGGAGGAATGATGGTAATGTTTCCAAATTCTTCTGGTTAAATGTGGAACAGTTAAAAAATAACATGATATAGTAGTAAGTAGGTCTTAGGCATCCAATGCATGTGCAACCATGCATGACACGAAATGTATTAAGTTAATACACTCATTGACTTTTTTTTTTTTTTTTGACAGGCAGAGTAGACAGTGAGGGAGAGACAGAGAGAAAGGTCTTCCTTTTTCCATTGGTTCACCCCCACAATGGCCAGGATCCAGGTGCTTCTCCTGGTCTCCTAGGCAGGTGCAGGGCCCAAGCACTTGGGGCATCCTCCACTGCCTTCCCGGGCCATAGCAGAGAGCTGGACAGGAAGAGGAACAACCGGGACAGAACCAGCACTCCAACTGGGACTAGAACCCCATGTGCCGGCACCACGGGTGGAGGATTAGCCTATTGAGCCGCGGCGCCGGCCTATAATCATTGTCTTCTGATACCTGTGGTGTCCATTCCAATGAAGATTCTGATTGGCTAGCTCAAGGACTCTGGTTGGTGTGACTTTAAAACAACTATTGGATTGATTCACATATGTTAAACATAAATTTTAAAATATATGACTACTTATTAGTCATGGCAGTTAGTGTTATCTTTTCTCTTTGCTTTGTAAAACACACAAAAACATTAATTTGCCATATTCTTCAAATTAAGAAAATGGTTTACTGTATGATGATGTTTGGATTCTCTTTGATCACCCAAAGATTGCTTTTTTTTCTTGCCATAATAAATCTACAAATGAAAAACTGATTCATTAATGATCTTGATTTGAATTAGAGCAGTTGAGTCTGGGGCACTCTTAGATATGAATATTAAAATCTATAGAAATTAATGAAATCACAATGGGGAGACCAAAATTATTTATAAAGGATCATTTATTAAACATTTTTCACAAAATACAAAGATGGTTGTTCTGCAAGAATACATCACATATTAAAAAATAATGTGTTTTTACTGAATTTAATTTGAAGACATTCAGAATTGTTTTGTCTATCCCCTTGGGGAGCCCATTTGGCTTTGCTCCTTGTCTGACACCATTTCTAAGAAGGAAGAAACATTTTCTTGTTAATTAAGTCATATTCATAACAGCTTTAATTTTATAGAAATAAAATCAGACAGTGTCTGCCACAACAAAGCTCTCTCCACAAAGTAACTGATTTGCCTATGGTCCTATTTTTTTTTTTCAAGCTACAAGATAGGATAAATCAAGGAGGAGCTAGGTAAGTTGTATAATAACTTATTAGCAGCAGTTGATAGTAAATGCAACATAATGTTTGTTTTGTCTGTGGTACAAGAATATGTCATATCAGACTATCTACTGTATTTTTCTCTACTTGTACACAAGTAAGCACATACGGATTGTCTCAGAATGACACATGCATAAAAAGGCAGGAAGCTGGCCTGGCTGGCATTATCAGTGCCTATTTTCATCAGCTGAGAGTTTAAAGCAAGTTCATCTTCAACAATTTCACTCTGGAGGCATCTCGTGTAGAAATGTGTCATAATTTGTTCTTGGTACCCATTTAATTTTTCAGTGCAAGCAAAGGCAAACATACCTGCTCACTGTCATACATACAACCAAACATCTCTGACTATTCAAAGAAAATTCACCTTCTGATTTTCATCATGGAAGCATCTTTGATAAGTGGCACTTTGTATAAATCCTCTATAAATCATGCAAAACAGACCCATGATGCCTGAATTTGATAATATTAAAAATCATGGCCATGGCCATCTCTCTGTGAAAACTCTGTTGGGTAAGACTTACCATCACGGTGCTTCTTTCCTGAGGATGGAGTTGGTCCTGTCTGTGTGGATCATAAGTGTGCATGCTCTGAGCTGTGGTCGCTGTTGTGGCTGTCTTCATTGTCCGGAGAGTCCCCTGTTTGCTGGAGCATGGCTGCACCGATCCCTGATATCTCTGAAGGGAACAGGGTTCCTTTCTTCACGTTCACCAGTTCCTTTTCTCAGGCAGCAGTGCCCAGCTGGCCCAATTTTACCCTCTTCCACTTCATCCTCCTGTTCTGGAACCACACTTTCACCTTGGACAAAGAAAGGAAACACACGAAGCAAACAGAACATTAAATTCAAGTGCTTTCTCCTTTTGATCCGCCTAGGAGAACTAGATTCTCAAAGGCTTACACGAAGACACCATGGAAGAGGAGTAAATATAAAAATAATCCCACCCTGAGTTTAATCAGGTTGCATGTTCATGATAATAATTTATAAACATTCAGAAGATGCACACAAATGATTACATTTCATATTTAACAACAAAGAGAATTCATTGTAGTATTACCTCCCAGTTTTTGCTTTGTGGATTTAAAAATTAAAAATTACAATAATAAAGAGAAGTAGACAAGAAAGGGCTTATCATTCAAGATGTCTCCAAGGTATTTGGTTCTGCTCTTGCATGATAAACCTGTGATGGGACCTATGTGGATACGTAGCCAGGAGCTTCATCAATAGATTGAATGTTATGTGAATGTTCATCTTAACACACTAATGTGAAAAAAAAAAACTGTTTTCCAAGGTTGTATCAGTTTAGTTTTCTTATTCTTTCCAGGGCATAAAAGTTCAAGTTCACCCAAATCTTTGCTGCCATTTGGATTTACCAGCTTCAACTTTTTTTACAACACAATGACAATAAATGTTATCTCACTGTGCTTTTATTTTGCCTTTCCTGTTTTCTAATGGAGTCAAGTATCTTTTTTTTTTTGATAGTAATGGTTTTATTTTCTTTTTTTTTAACTTTTATTTAATGCATATAAATTTCCAAAGTACGACTTATGGATTACAATGGCTTCCCCCACATACCGTCCCTCCCACCCACAACCCTCCCCTTTCCCACTCCCTCTCCCCTTCCATTCACATCAAGATTCATTTTTGATTATCTTAATATACAGAAGATCAGCTTAGTATACATCAAGTATGGATTTCAACAGTTTGCTCCCACACAGAAACATAAAGTGAAAAATAATAGATGATTTTTTTTAAAATGATGATGAAATCAGAGCAGACCTATTGTCATGTTTAATCCCAGTGAGAGTCAAGTTGGGAATTGATAATTTCTTTTTTTCTTTTTTTTTTTTTTTACAGAGGATCAGTTTAGTATGCATTAAGTAAGGATTTCAACAGTTTGCACCCCCATAGAAACACAAAGTGAAATATATTGTTTGAGTACTCGTTATAGCATTAAATCTCAATGTACAGCACATTAAGGATAGAGATCCTACATGAGGAGTAAGTGCACAGTGACTCCTGTTGTTGACTTTACCAATTGACACTCCTGTCTATGGCATCAGTAATCTCCCTATGCTCCAGTCATGAGTTTCCAAGGCTATGGAAGCCCTCTGAGTTCTCCGGGAGTCAAGTATCTTTGAAGAGTTTAGGATCCAGAGTTGGTGCCCATGTCCCATGTTGTAGCACCAGGAGTCCTGGCTGCTCTGTGTCCAATTCAATCCCTGTTGCTGCACCTGGAAAGTGCTGCCATTTGGGGAGTGAGCCGATGTATGGAAGGCCTCTCTCTCTCATTTCTCATAGATAAATTAACGTTCTTTTTTAAAAAAATAATGGCCCACTGTAGTGCTTCTATGAAATACCTCCCTGTATCTGGTATGAATTCTTTTTAAAATTAATCTTGCTCTTTATGGACTTTGAAATGCCTGAGTCCTAATTTAATACCTTCAGTTGTATGGAAGCTACTATCTTCTCTGTTTTGTGCCCTCCCCTTTTCTTGGAGTATTTGTTGATGATCAGAAGCTCTTAATGTATTTATATTTACACACTGTTTCTTTAATGGTTAGAGCTATTGAAGGATACTCTCTGCTGAGGCCACAAATGTATTCTACATTTTCAAAGAGTTTAAGGTTTGCATTTCAAATTGAACCTGTCAAACCAGGAAGTATTGATTTTAGTATACAGAGGAAAGCAAATGCTTCCATTTATTCTGTGTGAATAACAAGTTATTCTTGGGGCCAGTGCTGTGGTGCAGTGGGTTAACGCCCTGGCCTGAAGTACCAGCATCCCATATGGTGCCAGTTCGAGACCTGGCTGCTCCACTTTTGATCCAGCTCTCTGCTGTGGCCTGCAAAAGCAGTAGAAGATGGCCCAAGTCTTTGGGCCCCTGTACCCATGGAGAAGATTGGGAAGAAGCTCCTGGCTCCTGGCTCCTGGATTCGAATCAGTGCAGCTCCAGCCATTGCAGCTAAATGGGAAGTGAACCAGTGGATGGAAGAGCGCTCTCTCTCTCTCTCTCTCTCTCTCTCTCTCTGCCTCCCCTCTCTCTGTGTAACTCTTTCAAATAAATATTTAAAAAGAACAAGTTGTTCTAGGTAGCTTTTTATGAAAGTCACCATTTTCTCAGTGATCACTGTTTCAATTCCATCATCAATAAAGCTTCCATGTAGAAAGTGGCTTCAAAAAGCTCACAGAAAATGGAATTAAATGATAACTTCTTGTGTTCCAAGAGGTTTCTGAGGGTTTTTTTTTTTCAAGATTTATTTTATTTATTTGAAAGTTATGCTAATGGAGACAGAGAGAGAAATAGAGAAAGAGAAAAATCTTCCATCTGTTGGTTCACTCCCCCAAACAGTCAGATGAGCCCACAACCACGTCTGGGTCTCCCATGTGGGTGGCAGGGAGTAAGTACTCAGGGCATTGTCTGCTGCTCTCCCAGGTGCATTAGAAGGGAGTTGAATCTGAAGCAGAGCAGCCAGAACTCAGACTGGTGCTCCACATGGCATGCTGGTGTTACAAACAGAGGCTCAATGCCCTGCACAACAGCACTGGCCCGATCCATGAGCTTTTCAAGGCCCCTCCTATGCACAGCTTTCTGCTCTACTCTGTTCTGTCCCTGGGTCAGTTTTTACCTGTGAGAACATAATATTTTCATTCTTGCTGTAATTTTATACCAGATCTTTGTATCTGATAGGGACAGGTCTGTTTCACCACCAAATATATTTCATTCTTTACACCAAATATATTTGAATGTTCTGCATTTTCATATTTGAAATAATCTCAATTTCTGTGAATACACAGTGACAATGGGAATGTGATGAGAAATAACTCAAATTTCCAAAGACATATTTATGTCTGTAACCTTCAAATCACATGATTCATAAAAGTATAAATTCCTTAGACATTTACACAATTAAATACTGAAATTGAGATGATTCTTAACTAGGGATTGTCACTGCTTTCACTGCTGGGTTCAATTAACATCATGTCTCATTTATTACCTATCTATACACTAGTCCATTTGATAAAAATAATACAATATAGTAAAAATTTGATTTAAAGTTCAGTGGTGAGGGGTCAGCACAATGGCATAGCATGTAAAGCTGCCACCTGAAGTGCCAATATCCCAAATGGGTGCCAGTTCAAGTCCTGGTCACTCCACTTACAATTCAGCTCTCTGCTATGGCCTGAGAAAGCAGTGGAAGATGGCCCAAGTTGTTGGGCCCTGCACCCATGTGGGAGACCCAGAAGAAGATCCAGACTCCTGGCTTCAGATTGGCTCAGCTCTGGCCATTGCTGCCATTTGGGGAGTGAAATAGCAGATGGAAGACCTCTCTCTCTCTCTCTCCCTTTTTCTCTCTCTCTCCCTCTTTCTCTCTCTCTCTGCCTCTGCCTCTCTGTAACTCTCTGCCTTTCAAATAAATAAAGATTTAAAAATATTTGATGAGAACTGACATATTATTACTGCTTACTACTCATAAGGATCACTGCATGCATCATGTTACAGCATATGTGCTACCTGTGCTTTATTTCTAATACACTTTCCCCTCATGTTGTGAACATTATTTCTATGTTATAAATGAGACAATTGAGGTAAAGTTTACATGAACATGACACAGATGGAAACTCTAACCCCAGGATTTAATCTAACAGCAGGATTTAAACACCTACGTCTTTATCTGGCTCCAGAATTGGGGTTTGGTTTTTTTATTTGAATTCTATCTCAAACTCCTGTTTTTAGAGCATTCAGGATAAGAAGGTAAAGTACAGGATTGTGCAATGCATGAGCACCATCCATATGGTGACTCTCATTCACGTAATTCCTCTACTTGCTGTGACTGGGTTGGTAAATGGGGCGCTATTTTCCTGCCCTGTACTTTAGGTAATTACACTACTCAACCTAATCACCGTGTGAGCTTGACAGTGCAGGTTGCATTAGATCTGTTGCACATGAGCTGGGTACTACTCTTGGCTTCACTTCTGAGTTTTTGTGTGAATTTGGGAAAACCACACTTTTCTCTGTCTCAATTTTCATATTTGTGATATTGGAATAATGAGGCTTTCAAGATTCTCCATAGGGATATTTTCTCCATTGACCATTCCAGATGGAAACAAAAAACAACACGTAAGTCATCATCATAATCACTGTCACCAAGACTGAAATGTTCATGCAAAATAATCTTGACAGGAAACAAAAAACGGGAGGAACAGAATTATTGAAATCCATGTTTATGTTCTTCTCTAGGAGAGGAGGTACAGTAATTCTGCAATACCAGCATCCATCTGTCATATGCAATTTCACATGAGAAAATACTAAGAAGAAGGTACGGATTTTAGGAATACAACTTTGTATTTAAAAGAAAGTATGTCCGTTGGTTTTCTTTCTCACCATATGACATTTTACCATTTAATTTTTAAAAATTATTTGTTTTTACTCATTTGAAAGGCAGAATGAGAGAGTGAGAGTGAAAGAGATTATCTTCCATCTCTTGGTTCACTCCCCATAACCACAGGAGCCAGGAGTGGGCCATACCATTGTCAAGAGCCAAGAAGTCCACCTGGGTCTCCCACCTGGGTGGTAGGGACCCAAGTAATTCAGCCATCAACTGATGCCTCCCAGGGTGAGCCTTAGCAGGAAGTTGTATAGGAAGTGGAGGTGTTATTGGAATCCAGGCACTTTGCACATTTGCATTTAATGTGTATAATATCTGGTCTCCTAGGTTTACATTAGATTAGAGAAGAAAACAAATTATATATGAATCTATAGTGTCTCATAATTTCCTAAGGTGGCCACAGTGAATTAGGTTAATGGGAAGCTGAATCTATATAATGTCATAATCCATATTTATATTGTACCATAAATGTATGACTTTTGTAGAAACAAGCAACCATAACACCAAACATCTGGATGAAATCTGAAAATTTCAGTGACATATCCAGATATCTCTACACATCTGGAATTTTTAGATTTAATGTTCCAACTGCTTCCATTTTTGTCTGGGCACTTGAAACACTGTAGACACTGTCTAACAAATATTTATTCACATCATAAAGATGTGAAAACATGCAAAGAATCATTGTATAAATACAATTTTCAGATTTAATCATATTCCAGTGACTAAAGTGGCTCTGGCAGTTAATGTAGACAACCCAATGTCAACAGGCCCTGCAGACTTAACCAAGTAGTTCAGCGGCAAAGTGGGGAGTTGAAGTGAAGAATTCAAACCAAGAATGCTTTAAGGTAAGAATGAAAAAGAAAGAAAAGAAAGCTTCTCCACTTCTCCTGCCTGCAAGGATAGACATATGTCTGCCTGCCAGTGGGGTCCCTCAGCTAGTTCCAAGCCACCAGTGAACTCTGCTCTGCAGATCTGCAGCTGTGCGTTGAGGTTGGGGGTGCTTGATGGAAGGGGTATAGGGATAGAATACATTGCATGACTAACAACTTGAAACCCTATTTATTGGGCTGCCTCTTGCCTTTATCATTGATTTTAGCACAAAGCTGGTGATAGATGAATCATTTTTCTGTCTCTATAGTTTTCAGTTCTGAAACTTGTTTTTCCCCTTTACAAATCAATCTTGTAAAACAGGCTCTTTGTATGTAGTCATACAAGTTTTACTATCCCACTTTTTTTTTTGCATCTTTATTTATTGCAAACACACACATATGGAGAGGGCAACAAAGAGGGATCTCCCACCCAGTGGATCATTCTCCAAATGCTAGCTACTGCCAAGGCTGGGACAGGTCGAACCAGGAACAAAGAATTCAGTCAGTATATCCCAAATGTGTGGCAGAGACTCAACAACTTGAGATTTCACCTGCTGCCTCCCAGGATGTGCATTAACCAGGAAACTGGAATCAGGAATGGAGGTAGGACTTGAACCCAGTCACTCTAATTTGAGATTGCAGGTGTCCCAAGCAGAGTCTTAATTTCTACACCAAATGCCTCCCCCCACATGTTTTTAAGAAAACTGAATACTCAACAGCTATTGTGAGCCATGGATAAATAACATGTTGAACAATAAATAACTCTTGTTGTGACAAATAAAATTTGATGTAAGAAATGTTAATCTCTTGATATTATTAAAACTAATCTTATGAAATCTCATTCTTCTTTCCAAAAGTGAACCAAAGTAATAATTCATGTGATGAGCAAAGTTGTTAGAAGTTTCATTCCTTTTAACTTGATCTTTTTGAAATGTCACAGCCGTAATAAATGCTAATAATTTCTTCTTACCTGATGAAGTTCAATGAAAATTACTTATTTCATTAACATTTAATTACAATGGAAACACACTACTTCGAATAACCAAATTTCCATACAAGGTGAAAAAATACATACTGCTTTTAGTTATTCAAAGTGAAATATCATTTACTTAGTACATCATATGGGACTTTAGCAAATTGAGTGAAAATATCAAAACTAAGTTACTTGTTTTTTTCCTTTACTTTGCTATAAAATTCCTAGCTGGTATTAACTGAAGATATGAATTTTTTGTATTCAAAGTAATTACTTTACTTCTTTTTCTTTTTTTAACTTTAACATAATAAATATAAATTTCCAAAGTACAGCTTATGGATTACAATGGCTTTTTCCACTCATAACTTCCCTCCCACCCACAACCCTCCCATCTCCCACTCCCTCTCCCATTCCATTCACATCAAGACTCATTTTCAATTATCTTTATATGCAGAAGATCAATTTAGTATGTATTAAGTTAAGATTTCAACGGTTTGCACCCACACAGAAACACAAAGTAGAAAGTACTGTTTGAGTACTAGTTATAGCATTAATTCACATTTCTGTCTTTTTCAAACTAACAAGACCAACTAGAATGACAGCTTTTTTTTCTCTTATCATCTTGCCTAATCTCTCAATGGTGTTTAAAAACAATTAGAAATATCACTATCAATATACATTATTATAATTAACAACTTCTGCTTTCCCCATCATCTCAGGCATATCTATCAAATGTATTCAGTTAAAACAGTGAATCTCACCAAATTTATGAGTAAAGAACCGTAGGACATTATCAACTTATTATGTCTGAGTCTAATTGATAATACTGATATGTTCTGGTTGTTATCAGCATATATGTGAGCTCTCACTGATCATTCATTTACTAATTTAGAGACTACTCCCTTATATCTAAAATCATTATAAGAATTCACAAAGATTATCATTACTATTGTATGAGTACACATTGATTCTTTTCCCCAAAATAGTCAGTAATTTCAATAACTGGAAGAAAGCAAAAAACTAAAAAGTATATATTATGCATAAAAATTGGGAGTGATAAAATGATTTAAAGTATAACATTTACTTTAAATTGAATGTATCTCTGAGTTTTTCATAAGTTATGGGTATATGGAGATCAAATAGCACAGTCTTTTATAGACAAAGTCTCCAGAAATAGTTCTCTTTGGCCTGAGTTCATTACCTTTTAGAACAACTCTTGTTGAAATTAAAGATGTCAACACAAAACTTTCACTGGCTTTTCAAACTTTCTAGAATTTTCTCATGAAATAAAAAAATGCATGCAAGGCTAGTGTGAAAAGAAGTGCAGGAAGTGTCCTCTCACAGCCAAATCTCCTTCCGTAGCATCACACATAAACCATGACATTTGGCTGTGATCCGCAATAGCCATCAGAATGTAACTGCTGACTTGTTGATTAAGTGCAAATTAATGTTTTAACTGCTTATTGAAGAAATTCAGGAGCCAAGTATGGAAAATTCTTAGACAATGCTGTCTTCGATGATGTTGTCCTTTCATTGTACTAAGTTGATGACTGCTCATGCTAGCAAAAAGTACAACAAATTTCAATTGTTTAAAACTCATTTTTATGTATATGTACACATATATATGAACACATATACACAGATATGTAGGTCTGTGTGTGTGCTCAGAAATATTTCTTCAACTTTATAGCTGTGTGTCTATCATCTATCTATCTACCTCTCTATTATCTATGCAGGGAAAGAATAGCACTTTTAAAGAAAAAAGACCATTCTCAAGGGCAGTAGTTAGGATATGACCTTATTTTTCAGACTTTTTGTCTTTATCATTTCAACTTTGAATATTATGGTTATGAACCAGTTACTTATTTCTCAGTCTTCTACTTCATATAGGCAATATTTTTGAAAATCAGTGTATGGAAGGTTTGAAATATTGGTCGCTGTATAGATCTGTCTTTTTTTTTTAACAGGAAGAGTGGACAGTGAGAGAGAGACAGAGAGAAAGGTCTTCCTTTTGCCTTTGGTTCACCCTCCAATGGCCGCCATGGCCAGCGTACCATGCTGATCCGAAGGCAGGAGCCAGGTGCTACTCCTGGTCTCCCATGGGGTGCAGGGCCCAAGCACTTGGGCCATCCTCCACTGCCCTCCCGGGCCACAGCAGAGAGCTGGCTTGGAAGAGGGGCAACCGGGACAGAATCCGGCGCCCCGATCGGGACTAGAACCCGGTGTGCTGGTGCCGCTAGGTGGAGGATTAGCCTATTGAGCCATGGCGCCAGCCAGATCTGTCTTTAATGTTACTATTTCTTAAATGATTTTTTTACTTACCATAAGCTTTTTGTGTATGTGGAACCTACACAAAAGAAGCAACTGACTTTTACTCCAGGTAAGTGTTAAATACTGATCCAAAGAAAGAAGCACTATTATAAAATCATTGGTAAGAAAGGCCATCTCAGAACAGTTGAACAGACAATATGGTGGCTCACAGAAATGAAATCGATTAAACTAAGTGTTTTCATAGTAATTTACATAAATAAATTAGAATGGGAAAAATTCTGTTAAAAATGTGCAAAAGACAAACCCACTGTTTATGTGGTGTACAAAATTATTTCCTTTTTTATACTCATCCAAAAAAAAGTGGATGGCTATGTTGAAAATACTTGGCATTGAGCCATTGAATGATTTATGAGTAGCAAACGAAACATAATCCTTCTTATTACTGCTAATGGAGTATAATCCAACAAGGTGGGGATTTTCCATTTATCTTGGCAGAGGTATTGAGTTCTCAGTATGTTTATTCCACTCATTTTAGCTGCTTTAAAAATCCACAATATTGCACCTTTGATTAGCACTGTGGAAAAGATTTTGTGAAATGGCAGGATCTCCCACTACTTCTACATTTGGCAGCCTTCACTCTGTAAAAATGTGCTTTTTACCACTCCCTGTTAAATTCCCATGCAGCTGTTTTCTCTTTCTTCCCCCTGTAAGATACCAGATATCTGGCAGGAGACTTCTCCAAGCTTATCTGGATGAAAAAAAAAAGCCAGAATAAGCTCATCAGACGTGAAAATACCTTGGCACAGGAGGATCTTTAGACCGACTGGCTCTTCAAAATATTCTAAGTGGCCCTGCCAATTGAAGATTATTAGCCGTGGCTCTTGGGGATGTGGGAGGATAGGTCATAAACTGGAAGCCTTGAGTTAGAAGCTGGAGAGTGACTGCAGTGATAACTGCTCCACAACACAGCTTTAGAATTAAAAGACTTGAACCTCATCTTTGCTCTAAGGTTAGCATTTTTAGTGGAGCTGGTTTTCAATATGAGCCTCTTGTTTTCTTCCTGGTTGACCAGGTGGATTATGGAAGAAGACACCATTTAAGAGTCTGCCTTCTTTGAGAAATTTCACAACCACTATTTTTTTTAACTTTTATTTAATGAATATAAATTTCCAAAGTACAGCTTATGGATTACAATGGCTTCCCCCCCATAACGTCCCTCCCACCCGCAACCCTCCCCTTTCCCACTCCCTCTCCTTTCCATTCACATGAGGATACATTTTTGATTCTCTTTATATACAGAAGATCAGTTTAGCATACATTAAGATTTCAACAGTTTGCTCCCACACAGAAACATAAAGTGAAAAATAATAGATGATTTTTTTAAATGATGATGAAATCAGATCAGACCTATTGTCATGTTTAATCCCAGTGAGACTCAAGTTGGGAATTGATAATTTCTTCTTCTTTTTTTTTTTTTTTACAGAAGATCAGTTTAGTATACATTAAGTAAAGATTTCAACAGTTTGCACCCCCATAGAAACACAGTGAAATATACTATTTGAGTACTTGTTATAGCATTAAGTCTCAATGTATAGCACATTAAGGACAGAGATCCTACATGAGGAGTAAGTGCACAGTGACTCCTGTTGTTGACTTTACAAATTGACACTCCTGTCTATGGCATCAGTAATCTCCCTATGCACCAGTCACGAGTTTCCAAGGTTATGGAAGCCCCTTGAGTTCTCCGACTCTTATCTTGTTTAGACAAGGTCATACTCAAAGTGGAGGTTCTCTCCTCCCTTCAGAGAAAGGTACCTCCTTCTTTGAAGACCTGTTCTTTCCACTGGGATCTCACTCACAGAGATCTTTCATTTAGGTTTTGTGGTTTTTTTTGTTTGTTTTGTTTTGTTTTGTTTTGTTT